TTGAGCACTTTGAGAGGGAGATATTGTGAGAGAGTTGAGAGCTTTAGTTAGTATTATATTTGAGTGATTTTGTGAGTTGTAACCCGTTGTATTTCTCCTCCATATAGTAAAATCTTCTCATCCTCTCCCCGTGGACGTGGGCAATTGCCAAACCACGTAAATCTTTATATTTGGTTTGATTTGTGTCGTATTTGTGGATTGCACTCGTGATTCTGTCGTGTCTTATCGACTCGTTTGGTTGTCGAGCACGCTTCCGCAAGGCGCACAACAATTGGTATCAGATCTCTAGGATTTGAGATCTAGGGTTTTGGCATTGGGTGAAGGACGATTCATTGTGAAAGCTTGGTTCTTAGAGTTCTAGGCTTCGCTGGAGATAGCATTGTGGAGTTACCGTTAGAGATCTCGCTTTCCTTGTGTGGTTAGGAGATCATGTTGGAATCCTGTCTAGGGTTCAGTTAGATTATTTCTCAATTTCTATCAAAGATTGAATCTTTCTTTACAATATGGAGTGGTTTGCAATGGGAGAAGAAGTTAGTGAAAGCGGCAAGACAAAGATGAGTACAGTTTAGGTTGGATTTCAAAACACTAACATTAGTGTGGTGAAGTATGAAGGCCAAATCGATTTTGGTTTATGGATGAGCGACGTACAAGACGCTCTCAATGCTCAAAATTTGGAAGAGACCATCATGATCCATGAGAGGCCATCGAAATATGATGAGGCGATATGGGACAAGATGAATAGGAACACTTGTGGAGTGATCAGGTCATATTTGGAACAAAAGCTAAAATACGATGTGATTGAGGTAACGTCTGCAATGAAGATGTGGAGATTCTTAATAATAAGTATCTTATGAAGAGTGTTGAGAATCGGTTACACTTGCTGCGGAAATTATTCATATTCCAGATGTCCAGGGGCACCTCACTAGTGGCTCATGTGAAGAACTATACAAAGTTGTTGTCGGACTTGGCGAACATGGATGAGAAGATAACGAATGAGTACAAGGCGATTATCTTGTTAGGCTACTTACCCAATGAGGAGTATGATACCTTCATGCTCACTTTGTTAAACGGGGGATCTTTCATCACCTACAGTGAAGCGACTAACGCATTGACGAACCACAATTTGGGGAGGAAGGACAAAGAGAATTTCTGTGCTAGCACTTCAAGAGAGGCCTTATCGACGAGAGGTAGAAGTCCATATCTGAGAGGTGGTAATAGGAACAAGTCAAAGTAAAGGGGCCACCACCAGTTAGCGAAGAACTAATGTGCGTTCTGCAAGGAACAAGGACATTGGAAGAGAGATTGCCCGAAGCTCAAGAAGAAGGAGAATAGCAAGAAGAAAGGCCCGAAGCTCTTAATGAGTGTGAACATCACGAGAGGTGATGATTCCGATGATTCATACTTTTCTCAATTGATTACTTCAAAGGTGAACCATGTGGATGCATCTGATTTGATGCTTGATTCTGGTGCTACTTATCATGTGACTCCCCGAAGAGATTGGTTTGCAATCGTTCCGAGAAAACTGGGGGGGGTTATGATAGTTATAAGAAATGATAAATCCTGTGATATTTGTGGGAAAGGTACCACCAGGATTCGGATGCACAATGGAGTAGTTCGTGAATTGAATGAAGTGAGAATTGTTCCTCAGTTGAAGAAGAATCTTATTTCAGCTAGAGCTTTGGAGGCGAAGGGATTCAATGTGAACTTTGAGAACGATGTAGTGAAGGTTACTAAGGGATCTTTGGTGGTGATGAAGAGAGTCCCTAGTAGAAATTTGTATTATTTAAATGGGAGCAGCGAGATTGTCCAGGTAGCTTCAGCTATTTTAGAGGTGGATGCAAGCAGGCTTTGGCACTATAGATTGGGGCACACAGGTAAAAATTCACTACAAGTTTTGTGCAAGTAGGGACTATTGAAGGGAGCCAAGAGTGAGAAAGTTAAGTTCTGTGAGCATTATGTTCTTGACAAGAAAACGAATGTGAAGTTCGGGACAGCCATCCATAGGACGAGGGGTGTTCACGTCGGTAATCGGTTTCACTAATTTTGAATCCATTACAACTTCAGGCGTTATAATGATTCAAAATAAAAGAAAAATTAAGTCTTTTTATAAGACTTCCCTTACAATAAAAAGAAAAAGAAAGATTTCCTCAGAACACACGTAGAGATCGTTTATCGGTCTTCTGCTTGCGCGGGATCTTTGTCGGTGTCGGGGTTTATCCGTGGACCACTAAATGATCAGATCCAAAGAACGATTTCGTTGCCTCGTAAAGGAGACAAGAAACTAAAGTGAATATCTCAACAAGGTGAGATACCCACTCTTCTCGAGAATCACAGCAAGGTGCGATTTCAAGGGAAGTGGATGAACCGGATGCAGATCTCTCGAACTATTCCTCTTTATGCTGAATAAGTCACCGAGATCTCCTTCTCCTCTCTAAAATTTGTACTCCTTCACTCTCCCAACCGATAGGGCTTCGCCAAGGCTCGAAAATTCCGGATCTGTGAAAATAAAGGCCCTAGGGCCATATTTATAGGCTTTAGAAGCCCTGTTTTCGGATAAGAACGAACGATTTAATCTTATCCTTAGTTGTAACCACTTAACCACGTTTATAGATAACCTCAAATCAGTAAGGGAGGCTCTGTATAGTCTGAGTTAGTTCTGGACAGTCCGCGATGATTCTGGACAGTCCGGGGCAGTTCTGGACAATCTGGAGTAGTTCTGGACAATCTGGAGCAGTTTTGGATAGTTCGGAGTAGTTTTGGACAGTCTGCGGTGATTCTAGACAGCCCATGGTGATTTTGGATAGTCCGGGGTAGTTCTGAACAGTCTGCGATGATTCTGGACAGTTCGGGGTAGTTCTGGACAGTTCGGAGCAGTTTTGGACAGTCCATAGCAATTCTAGACAGTCCAGAGTAGTTCTGGATAATCTGGAGTAGTTCTGGATAGTATGGAGTAGTTTTGGATAGTCCGCGATGATTCTAGATAGTCCAGGACAGTTCTGGACAGTTTGCGGTGGTTCTGGACAGTCCGAGGCAGTTCTGGACAATCTGGAGCAGTTCTGGACAGTCCATAGTAGTTCTGGATAGTCCGGAGTAGTTCTGGATAGTTCGCAGTAGTTCTGGATAGCCCAGAATAGTTCTGGACAGTCCGTGGTGATTCTGGACAGTCCGGTCCTGGACCGTCTCGGCCAAGGTCGAGACGTCGTTTTCCGTTTTTTGACTGTTTTCGCCGTAATTCCTCAGTCCGATCTCGAAATGACGCGATTCAAAATGTGTCGGAAAGCCGAATAAAAGATCTACAACCTTCCATGGGTGAATCATATGTGGATCGGACGAGACATGAGTGGTGCTTCGCCTTTCGTGAGTGAAATGTAATTCTCGATTGGACCGTTTTTTCGCTATTCTGTCATCCCTTTATCTCGTACGCTTTGTCGACTTGCTTCATTCACTTGTCGACATTAGATAATCTTCTTTGACTCAGATAATGACGTTCATCATTTTCTCTTCGTCTCGAGCTGCGTGTGGGAATCTATAGGTAATTTTTGACGCCTACAGATACCCCCTCCAAAGTATTTCAGTCTTGTTTCTTTTATAGAAGAGCCTAGAATACTTTGGATATGATAAGCCCAACCTTCAGTTGGTGTAAAAGGACCTGCAATTGGCTTTAGTTCTTGACTTCTTCGATTTTTAGTCTATTCAGTATTTTATCGAATAGTTAAAATTCTTTCGGCGCTGCGTTTATCGTCTGACCATTGTCAAAGTCTCGAATTGAAACCTATGTGTTGATCTCTGATTTTAGCTCGTGTCGTTGAGTCAACATTGAATTGATTATCTTCGTCGGATGTTCGTATTTGAATAACGATTAACTCCCTGGGATCATCTTTTGTTCTGGAGTTGATCTGAGCCTTGTTTGGCGAGATTTGACGACACATTAACCTTCATCGCAACGCGTTGACCGATGTTGACTTTTATCATGACACATTGACCAATGTTGACTTTCATCGTAATGCGTTGACCGATGTTGATTTTCATCGCAACGCGCTGACCGACATTGATTTTTATCACAACGCGCTGACCGGCGTTGACTTAAGACTACGCGTTGACCAAAAGTTACATGTTGACCGGTGTTGACCAAAGGCTGTACTTTGACCAGTGTTGACCATCATCGCAACGCGCTGATCGGCGTTGATTTTCATTGCAACACGCTGATCGGGGTTGACTTAAGACTATGCGTTGACCGACGTTGACCAAAAGCTATGCGTTGACCGGCGTAAACACAGTTTATACTCATACGTTAACTGGAGTCTATACAGTTTAGGCTCTTAAGGCGTTGGAGCGAGGACCAGTTTATACTCGTATACTACTGGGAGTTTCGGGAATCAATTTAATCTCGTGTACCCATTGGAGGTTCAAGGAGATGCAGTTTGTACTCATATACTCATCGGAGTATAAACTAGGGCCTCGAATACACCGCAATGGCCAATAACTAGCAAATATGGACCAAGTACAGCATTTGAAATGCGTAGAATCCTATTTTGGACTCAGGACAGAATTTTGATCTCGGGACAGAATTTTGATCTCGGGACATAATCTTGAACTCAGGAAAAAATTCTGATCTCAGGACGGAATCTTGAACCCAGAACAGAATTCTGAACTCAGGACATGATTTTGATCTCAAGACAAAATTTTAATCTCGGGACAATCTCGGTTTGGTAAGAGAGAGAGAGAGAGAGAGAGAGAGAGAGAGAGAGAGAGAGTTCATGAGAGTGAGGAGAGAAAAATAGAGGAGAGAGAGAAAGGGGTCGGTTACATGATCAAGGGAAGAGAAAGAGGTAGGTGTACTTCTTTTGTCCAAGGGACTTGTGTAGGCCGGCCCTAGGGTTTTAGGAAGAAGTTTTCTTTTGTACTTGAAAGAGGAACCCTTTGTTGTCCAAGGGTTTTTTCAACCCCCCCCCCCCCAACCGTGAGTCTTCTTCCCCTCCTTTTTCTTTCTTTCTCAAACTCTCTTTCTCTTCAAACTCTTTCTTTTAGAACTCCTCCAAACCCATAACTCCCCTCAATTAGAATCCTTAAACCCCTCAAACTCTTGTTATTAAAACCTCCATAAACAAAATTCGGAAAATATCTCCTTCTCACCCCCTTGGCTGAAATCCCTCTCCAAGCTCTTGGGGTCTTTGCATTGAGTTCTTCTTCCTCAAGTTTGAGTTGCCAAGCTCTTGATTTGGGTACGTTTCTTTCACCACTTGTATATTTGTTTGGTTTTGATTCATGAACTTGTAGGCCAAGATTAGGGCTTTTTATCTCATGAATTGGTAAAATTGAAACTTGAAAGTTGTTTCATGATCATGGCCAAAATTTTGGAGGACTTTTTGTCATGAATATGAAGTTTGAAATTTGTGTTTGAGGAGCTTGAGAATATGGAATTTTGAGGGACTTTGTTGCATAATGAGGCTGAAATTTTGGGGGGTGTTAAATGCAAAAGAAACCAAAATTTTTGGGGATTAAATGCAAAAAAACAGGGGCTGAAATTTTAGGGGCTTGGATTGCATACCCATGGCCGGAATTTTGGAGGAGTGGATGTGGGTTTATGGCCGAAATTTTGGAGGGGGTCGTATGCAAAATTGGCCAAACTTTCTCGAGGGGGTTATGTGTAAAAGGGGCTGAAAATATTTGGGGGGCTTATTGCAAAGTGGCCAAAAATCTTAGGAGGGTTTGTGTGCAAAGGTAGGCCAAATTCTTGAAAGGGCTTACTTGCAAAAAGTGGCCGAGTTTTGGGGGTGTTCATGGCTAACATTGAGCCTTGAACATGAGCGGTATTTTGGGTATTTTACCCAAAAATGATCATGAGGGTCTTGAACGCAATTTGAACACGTTGTTGGCATGTATGGATCCTGTAGGTTTAATTAGGCTTTAACCGTAAAATCCTATTTTATTTGTAGGATTTTTAGTTAAAGTTCATAATTTACCTTTTTTAATTTCGGGTTCTTGAATTTGAGATTGTACCTGATTCGTTAATTTTCATTGCAGGTTAGCCTTGCCTTCACGACGATCGCGCTTCCATAGGAGTCGCTCCATTTCTCAACATGATGAGAAGGAGGCTCCTGTAGTTTCTTCACATGGGGGTGAGCCTTCATAACTTTTAGTATTTTGTGTATTGCACCCTCGTTTGTCTCCTTGGCGAGTCAATCGGGAAGAGCAGATATCCTCCTTCGTGGGGATTGAAGCTTCGAGAGACGTGTGTTGCTTGGCCAATACATGTTTCCAGGCATATGGGATGATTTCAGGTTATGTTGTATCCTCGTTTGTCTCCTTGGCGAGTCAATCGGGAAGAGCTGATATCCTCCTTTGTGGGGATTGAAGCTTTGAGAGGTGTGTGTTGCTTGGTCAATACACTTTTCCAGGTATATGGAACAATTTTAGATTATGTTGTATCCTTGTTTGTCTCCTTGGTGAGTCAATCGGGAAGAGATGATATCCTCCTTCGCGGGGATTGAAGCTTCGAGAGGCGTGTATTGCTTGGCTAACACACGTTTTCAGGCATATGGGGCGATTTAATGTTGTATTGTACCTTGTAGGACGGGGTATATTGTCACGTTACTTGCGTGACAATATACATTGTCCCTCTTGTGTAAAACGGATGAAATCGTCTCACCGATATGACTGAACAGTGATCCTATCTCGCCAATTTGCCAGGTGAGTTTCACTCCTCGTTTTATCTTAGAAATAATCTTTCTGGTTGTGTGTTATTTGTTTCAGTTGAGTTCCCGCCGGGTAGCTTCCCACTTCACACGATGAGTGGTTGTAGCCAAGAGACTTTCACCACTAATGTTGATAAGCTGTATATTGGTTCGACTTCTCAGGGGAACTCTTGCGAGAGGAAGATAGTGAGACCTGCAATCAACATAATATCTGACAATGAGGAGAGAGAAAAGCTCGTTGCTATAATTTTGCCTGACTAGGAATCTGCTTTCCCGGTATCTGGATTCGTGCAGGGTCTCCTCCAAAAATTTGAGAAATCTATGTAACAAATAGCCTCCGCCATTAGTTTTGGGCGGGGAAAATTTTATGATTTGCTCTCCTTCGTAGCGGATAGTCTTAAGGATATTCAGTGTGTGGGCGGTATCTAGCTGGCTAGGCGATGCAAGCAAAAGCTTACTCGCTTAGAGGAACTTATGTATCACTTGCAAGAGCTGGTATACTCCGATCCACGCGATGAAGCCACGCCACTCATGATTGATGCTTAGATTCAGAGGATGCACGAGCGTAAAGCCCGAGTGAAACGCATATCGAAGCAAGAAGTTATCTTCGTGAATTTGTATGAGCGGAAACATCATCTGCAAACTAAGATAGATGTTTATAACAACATTGCTGATCGTACGGGGGTCAGGACCGCCCAAGGGGAGAGGACCCTAAAGGATTTTGAGCTCGAGAGTACCAGATTTCAAAGTGCTTATAGAGGAGAGTTGGAAGCTCTCCATGCACTACGTCGAGAAGACACAGCCGCCGACACTACCGCCGTTCTTGCTGATGCCAAACTCCAGATGGAAGAGGAAGAGAAAGTTCCAGTGGAACAGGCAAAGAAGCTGGCCGTTGTCAAGGCTAAAATTGCCTCTTTTAGATTGTTAGATCTGATTTGAGATATCTTCTTATATCTCCATTTGGCCTGACTTTATTAATAAAATAAAGTCTTTTACTTAGCGCACTCTTCTCTTTATTATGACTATTATCCAATCTAGGATGAATAACCACAATACTTATAGGATTTTTGGTAAATACTCAGTCATCAACGAATTTGACATGCCTTTGCCGATTACCGTTTGAATCGAGCTAGCATACAGATTGTTTAAGTCCGCTCTGCATGTGACGTTATGCCAAAAGAATGAATTCTTTTAGACTTAGCGCTATGATTTTGAGTACATAGACTTAATCATTCCTTGCTAGATGCTCATAGGATTTTTGGCAAATCCTCAGCCATCAATGGGTTGATGTACCTTTATCGATTACTATTTGAATCGGGCTAGCATATGAATTATTGGAACCCGTTTCACACGTAACGTTGTGCTAAAAGAATGAATTTTTTTAGACTTAGTGCTATGATTTTGAATACATAGACTTCGTCGCTTTCATGGGAACAAACCACCCGGCAACGCGTTTTAGGCGTAGACTTATCTCTGTTTAGGAGTCGAGATAAATTCCCCTAGACATGAATCCTAGTGTCTTTTTTACGGTGAAAGATTAACCGGTAACACGTGTTAGGTGTTGACTTATTCCTACTTAGGATTCAGGATAAAATTCCCTATGCGTGTAAGGTATGTGTTTGTTGGAAATTTGTAGTAAAAAGACAATGAAAGAAAATTTGACTTGTATTCCCTCAAAATCAATTACAATTTGGATTCCGATTACAAAAGAGAGGAGAATGAATTTGATTCTCCCCTTTGTTTAAAACTGGGTTCTTCTTGGTAGCGGTGGAGTGCCTCCTTCGATTGATCGCGTCGAACTTGCTCTCCGTTGACGATCCGACCGTCCTATCTCACGAAACCGATTGAATTGCTTGATGAATTCGGTTTAGAACTCTTGACGAGTATAAAGAACTCAGAACGAGTTGAAAACTCTGACAAGAGTTGTTGAAAACCGAATGTCTGGTTTGATGTGATTAAGTTGGGTTGCAAGCTTAATCACGAACTCCTAAATGAGTTTCAGAAATAAACTCAGAGCGAGTTAAAACTCTGTGAAAGAGTTGTTGGAACCGAAAATTCGGTTAATTGCGCGCCAAGTGTATTATGACGTTGACGAAAGGATCCTTTGGGATTTGATTAACTGATCGTTGATCAGTTCCTTGATCTTCAAAAGATCTCCTTCGTGTTGTTGAACTGCTGAGCTTTGTTGACCTTGAGCGGTTTTGATGCCAGCTCCCCTCAACCCTATGCGGTTTTTCCTGCTAAAAACCGATCAACCTTCTTGGTGGTTTGATCTCTCCCAAAAACTCTAGCCCCGTAGGATGTTGAAGAGAACTTGTTTGAACAAGTTTGAAACTCTAGCCGAGTTAAGAAACTCTTTGGAAGAGTTGAAAAGAACTTGGTAAACAAGTTTTAAAACTCTGATCGAGTTAGGGGAACTCTAAAAAGAGTTGATGATAATAAAGAAAGTTTAATCATTTCAAAACAGTAGCTGATCTCTTTCTCTCTTCGGCCGATCTCAAAAAAGCTCCGCCAGTCCTTTATAGGTTCGGTAAAACCTATATATCTCCAAATCTAACCGATAGAAACTAATTTCCACCGTTCAGAATTAGGAAAGACAAGTGTAGAAGCTACCCTCCAAATTTCACGTCGATCGGACCACGGATGAGGGTCAGATCGTCACGCCGATCACAACTGCACAAATCTGACTTTTCTCTGCACTCCTAGAACGACCCGCTTCGGTAAAACCTTCATATATCCAAATCTAACCGATAAACAGCAATCTCCACCGTTCAGAATTAGGAAAGACGAGTGTAGAAGCTACCTTCCAAATTTCACATCGATCGGACCACGGATGAGGGTCCGATCGTCACGCCGATCACAACTGCGCAAATCTGACTTTTCTTCTCCTCTCTTGTTCTCTCTTTCTTTTAATTTCGTCTAGCCCTCTACCACCAGCCCTATTTTGCTGTGAAAACCACCTATTTGTAGGAGTTTAAGGGGTATAACTACCCCCCTTAATTAGCTCCATAATGGAGGTTAGTTGCCCTATTAAGTAGAGGACCTTTTCAAGGATTTGAAATGGTCAAACGCGACCTTCGCGTTGAAGAGATTGTCAATTGTAATCTTTTTTTTATTTTTGAACTTTTGTGAGGATCGTCAGATTGTCATCCTTACATTTAGCTCTTGATAATATGAGAGTCGTCAATTTGTAACTCCCGATGTTGATTGTGAAGGCTGTTGAATTAGAGCTTTCATCAGTTGTTGTAAAGGTCGTCAGATTGTAACCTTCATCAGTCTACGTGAAAGTCTTCAAATTGTAACCTTCTGAAAGTCGTCAGATTGTAACTTCTATCATCGGTGTTTTGATGGGGATCAGCTATCTATTGTGATTTTTTGACAGCCTACAGTATGGATTTTGATTGTGTGGAAAGATTATGTCTTCTCTTGGGGCAAAGATGAACCCAAAGCTAGAGAGGAAGAATTTTATATTCTATCTCCATGTCTTCTTTTAGGGTAAAGACGAACTCGGTACCGGAGAGGAAGAATTTTATATTCTATCTCCTTCTGAAAGAGAAACTCAAAGTGGAATCTCCACTCTGAGAATCAGCATGATTTAGACAATCTAACTGTTTAAAGGTTTGATTTTCAAATCTGAAGGGGGATTTCTCGTTTATCGAGATGAAATTCCAACATTGGTCCTATCTATTTAAAGGTTTGACCAGAGAGGAGATTGAGACGATCCTAACTGTTTAAAGATTTGACTAGAGGGGAGATTGAGACGAACCGAACTGTTTAAAGGTTTGATCGCTCGATATGGGTGGAGGTCTTTTGTTTATCAAAAGGGAACTCCGATTTTGGTCCTAACTGTTTAAAGTTTGATCAAGATGGGATTAGAATGACCCTAACTATTTAAAGGTTTGATTGTTCAATTTATGGACCTCTCGTTCATGGAAGGAATTGAGAGAGGATTTTGGTTGTGGTCCTAATTGTTTAAATGTTTGACCAAGATGGGAGTGAGGTGGTACAAATAACAGTGGCAATATCGATTTGCACAAATCACTGTGTTAATACAGTAGGAGCTTCTGGTGTCAAGTTGCAAGGACTTTAACACAAGGGGCTTTGAAACTTTTAATACTGTGTCCGGACTCTAACAATGGAAATGTTGAGTATACAGACACAGCGAGAGTTTGAGTGGATCAAACTAGAAATAATTTTTAGTGGACCCACCATCAATTGATTTAATCAGTAATGGATTAAGCACTCCACAATTAGACCGTGGGGGTTTCGTGAGGGAAGATTGACCAGATAAAGTCATTGAATCTCATTTCGACGAAAGAGTGCTTGAGAAGTCACAATGGGAGGGTTTTAATCTTCTTGGAAATGATTTAATAGCCAGAGTTGGAGGTTCTTAATCATTCTTTATCATGATTAAGAATTTATTGGTTTTGGGTTATCCTTAAGAATATCATTTGTAGTATTCTCCAGGAACTTCTCATCGAACGTAGGGAACAATTTAGCCTCGTGTACCAGTTGAAGGTTTGGGAAACAGTTTATACTCATATACCTTGTTGGAGTACAAATGAGGAACAGTTTATACTCATATACTCTTTAGAGTGCACACCGCTCTCATTTGGCTTGTTTTGCCGTTATAACGTCGGAGTCAATTAAGGCTTGGATTTTATTTTTGAGACCAAAATAAACCTTTGTGGGATGAAGAACCCTCCTATGGTATGCACAGTAGTTTGGATCCGTAATCCTCTTAGCTTCCTCCTGATCTTTAATAGGTGGTAGCTCGATTTTATCGTTGGCGAGGAGGTACTTGAAGATAGTTGGAACTTCCTCATCCTAGAAGGAGTACTCTTTTTGGAGTCTCGGATCTGGAGTCCTTCGTTGTTTCTGAGGTTACTATTGTGACGTTTGATTTGCATCGGCAACAGCTTCATGTGTGTTAACCGTCGACTGGCCTCTCTCGAGCTTCTTTCTTCTGAGGAAGGGCTCGACCTATTCTCCACACAGTTTTAATTCTTTCCAGGTGGTTGATGGGGCAACCACCATGATTTCGAGGATATTGAGGGAGAGATTGTGATGGCAGGTCTGGAGTATGAACTCCTCTGTGACCGGATCTTGGCAATTCATCGCCTTATTCCTGAAGCGTTTGATGAAGGTGTCAACTGACTCTCCATTCTTTTGCTTTTCATCTAGAAGAGCTCCGATCGACATTTTGATGTCATCGTCGAAGAAGTTGTTGAGAAACGAGCTTTTCATATCGTCCTAGTAGTTGATGCTCCATGGCTTGAGACGTCGATACCATTCGAAGGCCGCCCCCGCGAAGGGTGCCCACGAATGATCGAATCATCGGGGGTTCATTCCTGGAGATCACTCCCAGGTGGGACCTAAAATAAATTAGGTGCTGAGTGGGTGAACCTTTCCCGTCAAATGGCATGAAGTTAATCAGGTTGTACTTCGTCGAGTACGGGATTGAATCTCACTCTCTTGGATATGGGCACGGAATGCCCATTCTCCTTACTTCTTGAGCGGACATTAAGGCATTGACCTTATTCTCTAGCTCTTCATTATCTCATCGTCGTCTATATCTTCCTTCGAAGGATGTTGAGGAGAATGAGTTGGACCACTCCCAGTGTTGTCATTGTCGATGGGACCACCCCCAGCATCATTGTTGTCGGGAGGGGTATCCATATTGATATTCTCCTCCACTTTCGAATCGATGTCTACTTGATTAGTAGTGTAGTGGCGACTGGATTCACCGTGCTGGTTTGATAACTCTTGGAGTTGCTGGGCATGTAAATCCTTGACCCATTGCACGACTATCTCTATTTCGATTTTAAAATCTTCTTTCTGTTTGGTCAAGG